GGGCTGCCAGGGCAAAGGACCACACCTGGCTGGCTTAATACAAGGGAAATTTATTGTCTCACACTTCTGGAGGGTGGAAGAAAGAAATCAAGGTGTCATCAGGACCATGCTCCCTTCTTCCTTTCCTCCTCCCAGGGTCTTGTGCACCTGGAAATTCCTTAGATTCCTTTACATCAGTCCAATCTCTGCCTTTCTATCCTCACATCTTCTAAGGAGAATGCAAATTACATTGGATCAAGGGCCTGCTCTATTCCAGAATCACCTCTCCTCAGCAGCTTATATCTGCAATGACCCTGTTACCAAGTAAGTTCACATTCTGAGGTACTGGTGGTGAGGACTTACTTCAACACATCTTTTGAGGGTACACAATCTAACCCAGGGCAGGAAGGAAGGTGAGGGTGGGGTGCTGATGAAGGGCAGTCTGAGTGGAGTATGCTAATGCGGTGGCATGGGGACGGGGAGGAGGGGTTCCTGTAGGGGGTGTGGCCACATCAGGGCCTGCACTGAGGGGGCAACAATGTGAATGGAGAGGGCAGCTTAGCCATGGGGGTTTTAAGGAAGAAATGACTGTAGGAAAAGATGAAGCTAAGTAGTCCCAGATGAAATAATCATTTGAAATCTACATCATTAAAAGAATGATACTGTGACATGCATTCAATTAATGAATTTTAATAAGCATTGCATTTGGAAGGAAAGAAATCTCATCTTTGTGTGGGTGGGAGTGTAGTGAAGATCTTGAGTTTAGTTTTGGATGTAGAAGGTAGCTAGATGGGTGGGCCCAGGGATCGAGGTGATTTCAAGACGTGGATTTAGAAATCTTCCCTGGAAGGGGTGAGAGTTAAGCCCAGCTAGGAGCCCCTGAGTTATTATTGTCTGTGCCCCAACCTGGCTTTGACGTTTAGCATCTGTGTTAGGAAGTCTTCCGATTGTGTACAACTTCCAATGGGGGCGAGACTCCTGTCATAACATGATGCATGTAATTTGTTGATGGCACGATCAATGTTTTCTGTGGGGACTAAGAAAGGAAGGTGCCTGAGGAGTTGGGGTGCAGGTTTAAGGTTGGCTTAATATTCTTGTTTTCAGGATGTTCTTGTTCATGCCTCCACACTTTGAGAAACATACTTGTTGGAAGTGGAAACAAGATGCTTTTAGATCTCCCCAAATCTAGCACGCCTGCTTTCTTCTAACTGCTGGCCCATCTGTAAACATCTTTGTATCTTCATTTCATGCCTTTCTGTGCTCTGGAATTGGTGTGACATCAGTCAGGGCTTTCAGTGTTTTCTTCTTGCCTGATTATCTTTAAACATTTTTGACCACTTTAGTAAATCTAGTGGAAATCAGGCTCACTGGTGGACTTTATGGTACCTTATTAGATCCACTGAGCACCCCCAGGGGAGGAAGCAGGGCTGGGCAACGAGGGCCTTTGTGTTCAATTTTCACTGGGTGGATATGCTTATGGATACAAAGAACTTGGTCATGGGGGTCAAAATTGTCTCTGGGCTTCTGGGAAACATTTTCCAGCTCAGCCAACTGTGAGCCCAAGAAACGTGGACAAGTTCGTCTAGGATGCAAGTCCGTCTGTGTGCTAGGGCCTGGCATCTCTCAGTGTGTGCACACAATGTGGTGTGGACAGAAGTTCTGCTCCTTGGGGGTCAGCTTGAGCCCAGTCTCGCACAGCCTGGCATCCTGTACTTGGAATTCGCTTCCATGCCCTCCTCTTTGACTACATTTAGGAAAGCATGAGAGGCAATATAAGGTGTAAACTACATAAGCTCAAAGCCAGACTGCCTGGTTCTACCATTAACTGGCTGTGTGACTATGGCAAATCACTTAACTTCTCTGTTAGTTTTCTCCTCTGAAAAGAGGTATGACAATCTTACCACCTCTTAGGGCTATTACGAAGATCAAATGAGTCAGTTCACATAAAATACTTCAAATGGTCCTAGGATCATGGCAATTGCTCAGTTAAAATAGTGAAACCAAACAAACTCCCCTAAATAACTTTCGATATGAATGGCTATGTAAGTAAGGTCTAGCAATTAAATTGATGAACTCATCCTAGAGAAAGTGCTAAATACCTCATTGCTGAATAAGGTCACCTTTGAAGTGCTGCCCTTGGGAAGCTCTGCATTGATGCCAACACCTAGTCGACCCTTTAGAGCAACTTTGGAACTCTTTTTCTGGAATGACCATCAGAGCTATCACCATATGGCACAAAAAACATGCAATGATGACAAATGCCATTCAGAAAGACCCTGCCACACTGGACACACACACAACTGTGAGGCACTGATAAACCAAGGTTACAAAACCTTATGAGTTGTTTGTATAACATAAGCAGGTAGTGGCAAGTTCCCAAACTTGTCAGACACGTCTTATGAGGACAGCTCTGTTGGGCATTCCAGAAAGAGTTCCAAAATTGCTTTAAAGGGTGGACTACAGCTTCCCAGGGGAGCCCTTCACAGGTGACTGTGGTGATATTCAGCAATCAGGTAGGCAGTGCTTTCTCCATCAGGAGTCCACAAACTTAACTGTCAGGCCTCATGCAACAGAGTTTCTAGGCTCATAATGTGGTACAATTTCAAGAACTTAATTACAAAATTTAACATAAATTGGTTTGGATCTGAATGCTTTCAAGCCTACTAAAATTTGACTAGCCAATCACAAGCCAATATGGCAACACGGTTAGATTTGGTTGTCTGCTGCAGGGGATGTATATAAACATATTAGATGTCAGAAAGAGAACGCATAAGTAGGAAAAATAAAAATCTCACAGCAGTTCAGATTTTTAGCAAACTCTTAGAAAATACGGCTTTTAAAAAATGTTTAGTTATCTAGTAATATCCTCAAATCCTCAAATCCAGCATCTCATGGCCAGGAATCTTCTGTGCATCATTTTCCTGTGACAAGATGCTGCTCCTGTGAACATTGTCGGACATGTGATCCACTGTTCCAACCAACCAGTGGAAATGAGACCATCCCTGCTGCTGTAGCTTCTGAATGCATAGAAGTTGCTGGGTGGCCAGACGCTCCTTTGTTGTGCTCCACCGTTAACAGCTGTGCTTTACTATATGCCACAGTGGGCTCACAGTGACCTGCATTTGACCTCATGGTCAGCATTTCCTCTACGAATTGCTAGGGCTTTGCAATATTTGTCTTCACTGCATTGATTTGGGTTTGCAATCACTATCAGTAGTACTTATGAGGCTATAATAAGTAGCCTTATAAGTTGGCCAACATTTGGGCCACACTGACACCCAGCCTCCTAATTCTAATAAGCCGGGTTTTGGGGGGACAGGACTCATTGAATCAAAGTGCTCTCATTTTACTGTATAATGGCTTGAAACCAGTAGTTCAGATCATTTACAGTCCATGTCCATCATGGGTCAGGTGCTATCAAAGTTGCTGCTAAATTTACATTTTGGTGGAATAAAAACTTCTGAGGAAAAATATCCACAGCTGATATGTGATGATTTGGCTAGTGTCTGTGGAAGACAACTGATGTGAAATAGGAAATGGCTAGATGAATAGGGTGAGGGTGAGCCCTATAAAGAAAAACAGGGGGGAAAGAGCACCCCTCTGTCCAGAGCACCTGCACCAGGCCTGCTATTGCGAAGCCCGTGGTCCATCCACTGCAGGACCCGTGACTTCTTTTGCCCAGAAATCCATACTTTTGAAACTTCTCTTAAGAATTTCTTAGGCATCCGGAGCTTTAAAACTCGGCCGGAGTTTTACTGTTTCACATGCTAAAGGCTACCACTTACTTCCTCCCTAGGAAACCATGCCCAATGACATCTAGTTTGTAGGCTTTTTAACTGTTTCTTTCTCTCCTTAGGGTCTTTGTAGTGGTCCTCAAACTCCAGCATCCATCAGGATCACCTTATTATGACAGGCTGCTGGGCCCAGCACCAGAGTTTGATATAAAAGGTTTTGGCTGAGGTCCAAAAAATTGCATTTATTTCCCTCAAGTCCCTTTTAAGCTGATGCTGCTAGTGTAGAGAGCACATTTTCAGCATCACTGATCTTGCAGAAGTAGGAAAAATAAAAATCTCACAGCAGCAGGCTGATGCAGTGTGTTGTGAGAAGTTTCTGTGGTACCTGTTCTCTAGTCACGAAAGAATTTTACTTTAAGCTTCTTTTTCCCTCCACACGTGAGCCTTCTGTCCACACACGCTAGTCTGCTCAATTATTGTGTAAAGGGGTTCTGTTCCCTTCAAAACATATTTAACCAGATTTAAACACTTTCTTTATAGACTTCAATTCTTAAAACAAGAACTTCACTTGAAACGTTTTCTGCACGCATGTCCACCTACAGCCACATGCTGGGGCTGCCCACTTTATTCGTAGCACTATGAAAGTTCTGGTAGGTGGCTTCCGCTGCATCTCAGCATCTGCACGTATTTTTTCTATTATGAACGGACCATTTCAAAAGTATTTCAAAAGTAAACTACACAAGTCTTCTGGCGATGATAAGATTGCAATAGAATCAAACTAATTTCACATATAATTCTGTTCAGTTTTGAGGTTAAAATAATCATCCACCCTGGAAAGCATACACTAAGAAGTGTTCGTGGTCAGATAAGTTTAGAAAATGTAGATCTCGAGAAATGAATAGCAACTCACATGAGCAATGAAGGGATCAGAGGTTTACCATGACTGTTTCCTTCAACACTCTGAGTATCCTGAGGTTTGAGGATGTGCTGGCCACACCTGGCTCCCGGTCAGCTGGGAGGATTGCTGCAGTTATACGTCACAGTAAAACAATGTGTGTGAGGAGTCTGATACAAAAGTAAAACCTTCCAATGACTACTCTGGTTTATTTCAATCAAATTTTTGATATATTCTTTTTTTCCCCACTTACTTTTTCTTCTGGATGTGGGGTAAATTAATCTGGGCTAATGAAAAGTATGAGTCAATCAAGGTTCTGGTATAGTTACAAAGAAGAATGAAAAAGGAAGGTGATCACAGCTGAGGGTGAGAAACGCTGCTGACACATTTGCTGTAGCACAATTCAAGTTTATTCCATTTGTTCTTGCAACACAAAACTTAAACACAGTATTATTTAGCATTCGGATGTACATGAACTAGGATACTTATGAGAAACCCAATTGTGTCAAAAATATGACATTGTGGAAAAATGAACTCAGATATATCAAAATGCACAAAGCACTAGTCTTCCTCCATTACTGCTTAGAAAGATATGATTGTTTCTCCATTTACAAAATATAATCAGGACCATTTAAGTCTTAAATTTTGCATGCAAAAACACTGCAATTGCTTATTTATGTAGGAGGGCACTCTCACCAGCTTCTTTTACACACAATCGAGCATACAGTATTTCATGGAAGAAAACAGCAGCTCATTTGAAGTTTTAGAAAAAAAAATCAAATAGGTACATATAGATTCCAAACTCATTATTGGGGAAAGAAATTAATGACTAAAGGGCTCCCTTGTTTGCAGCTTTCATACACTGCACCTATTCTCTCTCCTCCATGCCCAGCTGGGTGTAGAAAGGTGAGCTATGCATAGAACTGCGTGAGATCTTCAGGTGCTGTGTTTGAACTAGGAGTCTTATAGGTACCGGTCTGAAGCTGCAAGGGAGAATTTATTAGTATACTACTTTAAACAGGTAAACTACCTGTTTTTACTTGATATAGTGCATATGAAATGACTGGTTTAATACAAAACTACAGAACATGCAAGATTTTTGAGATGTTAAATATTATTTCAGTGGAGAACAAAACTTATTTAACCTTTTGCTAATGCAAGTAGTACCAAAAAGCAGACATAGTTTTAGCTTCTTTTACTCAAAATATGAACATTAAGTGTTGTAAATTTTTCTGCCAAGTGGTTTAGAAATACATTATAAATAACCTAGTTAAAAAAAGAAATTGTAAACCATCTTGGCCAGTCTATTCTATCTATGTTTACATGTTATTTTTTCAAGCAATCGCTTCATAATTATGGGGTTTACAAAATGGCTGAGAAAGAAGAGGGAAGGCGAAACAGCCTCTACTGCGTTACGAGGACACCAGGATAAACTGTACAAAGAATCACTTGGTTTCTATACCACTATGACTGCAGAATGCAGACCAGGTTTAGGAATGATAGGACAATGCACTCTCTGCAACAGCTGACTACAACAAAACACTTGGAAAGGAACAGTGAAAACGGTGTCAAGGGAAACATTCAAGTCTTTTAAATAGCTTTATGCCAAGAGTGAAAACAAAGATATCAAAACACCCTGTTGCTCTATGTTGTTGGTTACAGACTGATAGAGTGCCCTTCATTTTCAGTGAGGATGTCTCTGTCTTTTAGTTCAGTGATGTAGTAAAGTACTGATTACTGACCTTTAACCCAACTCTAACAGGCTGCATTAAGACAGCAGAATTAGCCAGATATAACAAAGTATTTAAACCACCACTCTGTGATTGTTTTCTTGGACATAGGAAAGTTACAGGGTCAGGCTAGTGATAAGTGAAAAAGCCTATAGGATAAAAAAGGGCTCAACGGGAAAGACACACACACCCCCGCCCACCCACACACACCCCCACTAACCAGTCAGCAACTGATTGATAAAACTTGTTATTAGCTAGGGTGACTGTTCGTGATAATCATTTAACCCTGCTGTAGAATGCTACATTGCCTTTAAAAACCATCATTAATTCTTTGTCATCCACAATCTGAATACCAGTCCCTAAACTACCCCTTCCCCTCTTTAAAAATTTGAGGTACATTCAATTATTGCATGACTTGGCTAAGAAAAATTCCAAATATTTTAAGTAAACTTACATGAATGGCAAGTCAAAGAAATCTTTGTGTTTTATCAAATTTAAAATTACATTTTAATTAGTTGTACGGCTCATGAAATAAACATTTGGAGAAGTATCTAGATTTTTTTGTACGTCATAAACACACCATTTTAGGGCACTGTATTCTAAGAATATAGAGTATATTTTGGATTTGTCACACTTTTTGCAATGCATGATTTATAAAAGAAACAAAAATACATTATGCAGGTGGGTTGGCAAATGTTCAGCAGAAGCACATCAACAACTCAGGGAAACCAGGTAACAAGCATATTTTAAAAGGAATGAGGCTAAATTTGTCCAAATAGTAAATCTCACCCCAGTGATAGCTTTGGTGCAGTAAGTAATCAGCATCCAAAATGGGTCTGAGAGAGGCATTCCAAAGAATATTCCTTAATTCTTCCAATCTAACTGAGGTCTATCCACTCAAATAGAACATAAAGACAATTCATAGGTACTACGACAACTGTTCTCTTTACATGGTACTAACCGGCTTATGGCTATGATTCTATTTTTAAATCCCCTTTTACTACCAGCAGGAGTTTGAAAGTGTTTCAATGCTATATAAATGTCTGAATCTAGAGGAGAAAAAAATATGTATACTGGAATGATTTCTCCTTTAGACTTCCAAAATTTAAGATTTTATAAATAAAACTAGTCAGTTTTATCTAAAGAGACATAAAATCCATGTGAAAGGGGAGAGAAAATCCAAGGTTCGGACATCCAGCAATTTAAGGAGTGTGCCCTCCTCACCTTAACTAAGCTTTCACATAAAGCTTAAAGTCACTGAGGAAAGATTTGGTCACCAACCGCAGGCAGCGCTCTTAACTTTGCCAGGAGCTCCCCAGTAGAGTGCATTCTTAAGGCAGAAAGGCTAGAGCTGATTGCTTAACTCAGCACCCTAAGTTTACTTCGCAGTAACCACTACTGCTTGCACAGTTAGGGCTCCCAAATATGTAGAGTTGGCCTTTGTAGGATCAGACTTTCAATACAATCTAATTAATAAATTAGCTAGGGAGCTGAAAAGGTCAAATGTTATTGGTATATTTTGTCTTTGCTCTCCCTTGGGTATAAGCTGTATATTTTATAAGAAATAGAAAAGAGGCTGACTTGATCAGGAATCCCAGTAAAAGCCTGATCATGCTTTTCCCCCTTTCCTCTAAAATATTGGTATTTTTCTGGTAGTCTGATTTGTTATGAATTTCTCTCTCCCCTCACCCCTCTTAAAGTATTTAGCTGAAGAAGCTGGCAGATAGAGAGTGACAGACAAACAGGCAGCAGTGTGAGGCCACAGGAGAGTCCTTCTTCCCGAGTTACCAGTCCATCCACCCATCACTGGAGAAGAGCTTTGATTGCCTGGTTGTCAGTGGCTTCAAAGGCGGTCAGTCCATCTGGACCTTTCACAGTCTTATCAGCACCCTGGAAAGACAGGAAAGGGCCCTCATCATTACACAAGCCCACGGTGGGAGAAGAGAACCTAAGACCAGACTGCATGGTGCAGGCTAATGTTTACATTGAGAATGGAAAAATCCCTTCACCAACAGAGTCCACTGTATTACAAAAAAACACATAAATAAATAAAAATGCTGCCAAGTTTATGAATTTAAGTTGTAAAAATGCCACTTTACTTTTCAGGCACTAGAAATTTTCAGCTACAAAATTAACAGAGGTAATGATTAGTTTTTTATTTATGCTATCATATATTTATCCAATTAATTAAGCTTTAAAAGATAAAATCCCCATTTGTAGTACGAGATGGGAGAAAGTAAATCACTTTTGCTGAAGTATTATTCCTGTTCTTTGGTAGAATACACAGTATTATTCACATCAAGAATATGTATAGTGGCTCAGCGCCTGTGGCTCAAGCGGCTAAGGCACCAGCCACATACACCTAAGGTGGCGGGTTCGAATCCCCAGCCCAGGCCCGCCAAACAACAATGATGGCTGCAACCAAAAAATGGCCAGGTGTTGTGGCGGGCGCCTGTAGTCCCAGCTACTTGGGAGGCTGAGGCAGGAGACTCGCTTGAGCCCAGGAGTTGGAGGTTGCTGTGAGCGTGATGCCATGGCACTCTACCCAGGGGGATAGCTTGAGGCCCCGCAAAAAAAAAAAAAAAAAAAAGAAAGAAAAAAGAAAAAAAAGAATATGTATAGTATGGGTCACGTTACTTGTAAAAAAAGACACAGTAAATGCCTGGGATGCAGGCTGTAAGGAGGTTCCCTGTGACACTCCTGAGCAGGCGTGTCTAACCTGCAGCCCATGGGCCTTATCATGACCTTGTGAGGATTTTTTCTGCTTGCTGTGTTGTCAGATATAAAAGTATGCATAGAGCTTTTATATGTGTATTTAATTTGTGCCCCAAGACAACTCTTATTCTTCCAATGAGTGGTGGAAGAAAAAAAAGGTAGGCCACCACTGTTCTAGAGAAACCTTTGGCGCCGGCACCAGATTGCTCTTAATGCTTAGTCTGAAGCGTGCTGTCCTGGTACATTTGATTTGCAACATGGTGTTTCAGTTTTGAGAATCTGCATATGTACTTTTGTGTCTCTATGTTGTTTTACTTCTCTGCCTTTTCCAGAATCAAAGTTCTAAGGATGAGTGAGGCTTGACCGTGTTACCCTCACCGTATCTCAGGACCTAGAAGTGCCTACTGCATGTGGATGAATGTGCTACCAAACCAGTTCTGCCCCCCTTTAGCCCCCAGGGACAAGAATATTCTACTGTCTGAGGGCCCTTTTCCTAGCTCTGGCCCTATGCAGCATTTAGTCACACCACCACAAAGTCTTACTCACTCTGCTGCTAGTTGCTTGGGCCTACAGAACTGTCTAAACTTGGCAAAAATGGTCCTTGAGAGTTAAACACTGGTCAAATGTACCAGTGTCTTCTCCTGTTAATCTTTCCATGCTCTAAACCCACAGAATTCCCCTCTAGTTCCTGAACATACTGTGTGGCATGTCTTGACACATGCAAGGCTCTGTGTGGAATACCTCACCCACTTTCTCTGCCAAATCCATTCACCAACAAATTTACTTTAGTTGGTGAATGGATTTGGTTTTAATTGGATTCTGGCTACAAACTTTGCAACCTATTTGTTACTATTAGGGTAAAATGTTACAACAAAGAGAACCTAAAGCATATGTGTCCAGCCTGCTTGATGGGGGAAAAGTCCACAGCAAGAGCTTCACATTTTAGGCAATGATTTGGAAGTGATACACATCATTTGTGCATATCTCATCAGATCCAGAGCCATGCTCACTGCAAGGGGAGCTGAGTGAGAGAAAAGGACTAGCTTAGGTTTTCACGTATACAACTATAACCTGGAGCTCTCCTTCTAAAAGGAAGAAGAAAAAATAGAGATAGCAGACAATGTGCAACCTGACCTGACTGTTCTAAAAATGCTTTGGAATAAGTCACCAATGTCCTCTACATGCCAGGTTTAATCAGCATCTGAAAAAAAAAATATGGCATCTGAACACTGATGCCAGTCATATTCCTAACCATTAAGATAGTCTTATCTCCACACACTCCTGTCTGGTTACTCTGCTTCTCCTTCCTCCTGCACCAACTCCTTTACTCTCTTTCTGCCTGTCCTTTCTACGTTCTGGTTCTGGTCTTCGGCATTCTTCACAACTTGTTCAAGATGCTTATCCCTAATCATCTTCATCCATGCTCAGCCTTTACCTTCATCCTGAGGACTGGTTTTGAGACTTAACCCACTTGAAGGGCCATACACACCTCAATTCTACCTCTCTAAAATGAATCTGTAATCTCTTCCTACCAACCCGCTCCTTTCTCCGCACTGTTATGGTGAAGATCACGATCCCCTTCCAGGAACTGTGGAGACACTATGTAGTGGCTGTTTGCTTTCCAAGCCTTCAGACTATCCCCTTCTTAACATTTCCCATCTGTCCATGCTTCTTCAATGCTATCACTACTTTCTTAGTGTAGGACATTCACATAAACATCCTGATTGCATTACTTTTTTTTTTTTAATACTTCTTACATCACTACTCCACACCTGTCTGATGATCCTTCTAAGATGCAAGTCTGATCAGACTATTTGCCTATCTAAAAGTCTTTAATGGTATTCTCACAAAAGAGAATGAATATAAAGATTGATTACATGACACATAAAGGCCTCATCTATTCTACTTATACTTCTGTAGTCACACTTATTGCTAAATCCTTTCTACTCTACAGCATAGCTATGCTGCACAGCCTACTATACCTGAATGTATCAAGGTCTCTTATTGTCCTTGTGACTTTTCTTATTGTTGCTTCTGCTTGAAATGGTATTCCAATTCCCTACTGACACTAACTTTCTAAGGTTTGGCTCACGTGTCCACTGCTTTGTGAAGTTACAATTATGGTACCTAGCACTATAATGACATCCTCATTTATAATACAACCACCCTCTTGCCTCCCAAGACCATATGTGCCTTCTTCCCTCAGGTCCTAACGTGTTACATGTAGCTCTGTCACAGCAACCACAATGCTTAATGCCCTGGTTGTTTTAGTATTTGTCTCCCTTTACTGAAGATGGTCATGGAAGCAACCAGGCTTATTAGTCTTTGCATTCTCACGGCCTTGAAGAGGGCAAAAAAGAGGCAATCAAAATTTATGAAATTGACACCAACAAGAACTAAGGGACTCAATAAAATGATTATCATATTATTCAACTGTATAAAATATTTACTTATTTTCAGGTAATTTTAATATTGAAGACCCTTTGGTTCTGACATCTGATTAGAACAGAGACTAGGTTGATTTGCCTATATTTAGAGCATGATTCAGAGCATGATTCAGGGAGAAAGTTTTCCAAAGAAAAACTTGCTATGGCCATGTTAAAGACTAGAAGTAAAAGTTTTAAGGCATTACAAATAATTTATTGATCTTCAGAAACCACACTTTTGGATAATCGAGTATTACTTGATAGTATGTTTTAGAACAGGGGGAATGTTTAAAAAAATTTCAAGTCCTGCTATCTTTACCCATGAATAGTTTACAACCTAGCTGGAAAGATAAGATATACAAGCATGAAACAACAAGAATCTGAACCTACTTACTTGTCACTTTTATCTACTCCTTATTTCAGATAGCCTAATTCCACTGTATACTATCAGTTCTTAACATGTACAAATAGGTCAAGAAAATCAGATTAGTAACACTTTATGACATCGTGGAATGGCACAAACATGACATGTCATTGTGGTGCATTCGGAAGCTACAGAGCATTTCACACTCAATTCATAAAGTGATTCAATAAATATTTACTGAGTTTCTATTCAGTGCCAGATGTAGTTTTGGTAAATAAAATTTTACTGGAAGATGACCCGACCCATGCACTTACACATGGTTTCTGGCTGCTTCTGTGTATGATGGCAGAGACGGGAAGCTACAGAGACCGCACGGCGGAGGCGGCAGGACAGTGTCTGCACGGCACACAAAGCCCAAATATTTACTACCTGGCCCTTTACAGAAAATGTTTGTTTACCAGTATTCTGGGACAAGAAGGATACTGAGAGACTAGTTCTCACTGTTTGACAATCTAGCTGGGATAGAGGAAAGGATCACGTATGTAAACAGATCGCTGTAGCAAACACTAAAAATAGAGACAAACCATTACTTTCTTTGATTCTCAGTATAACACTGAGCCATGAATACTGTTAATCCTGCTGAGTTCAGATGTCAAGTGATTTACTGGTTATTAAGTTATAGGATCAGGCCTTACAGGTTTTCTCACAGCCAACTCCACCTGCACCACTTTGCCTCAAACAACAGCTAACCACGCAGCGGGGGACAACACAGTGAACTATACCATCTACCTGGGGGCCTAAGGATTGCTCCTGCTGTCTAACCT